TATATATATATATATATATATATATATATATATATATGTTTAAACATAAAACCCTTTTGTTTGTGGAATGTGCAATCATTTAAAAAAGAAAAATCTATATTCCCCACTAGTATTCCTACAATCCAGAGGGGGGTATGTTCTATCCAATACTGAAGACTTTATTTACTAATTGACATATTAAAAAACAAAACAAAAAAACTCCCCCATAAAAACATTTAAAAGTCAGGACAACTAACTGCAGGGCCCTGCTTAAGTCACAGCATAATATCTATCATGTGTTCATGCACAAATAGTACTTATATATGTACAAAAGGATCATGCGCAAAAACATTTAATCTTTGATTTTGTTTTGTTTTTTCTTCTCTATAATATTTATTCAGCATTTGTATACTTTTATACAGCATTTGCTCACTTTCTATATCTTTAGCGCTAGTCATACTGTTACAGCAAAGGCAAACAAACCACTCCAAAGAAAAAAAAAAGAAGAAGAATATAATACAATTATCTGTTGTTATAAACATGGCTGGAAATCCTTAGTAATCCTGAAGGCAGGAGCAAACTTAAATACCGAGAAATCTGTAAGGAGATTACCTGTATTCCCACAATGCACTGGTGTGGTGGGGGATGCATGCAAACTCTTCTCAGGATGAAGGAAGGAGCACAGTTGACACAGTACAACTAGCTCACCATGAATAATGGAGAGGGCATAACATTACATCATGATCATCTTATTAGGTTTCATTGTTACCACAGTCACAGTTTGTACTCTGTTCCCAAGTGCAGTTGGACTTTTGGATCATCAGTTTATTTCACTATAAAACGACAACTCAACAAAAGCATTTGATTGGATCATCCTTACAATCTAAGGTTAGTTTGATTGCACTGCGTTTTAAAAGCAGGAAATTAGTTATCAAGCCCTTGAATAATATCTAGGTTTGCTGGAACTGGAACTGATATGTTTGTAAATGTATTCTGGATAAAATGATGACACTATATTTTGTGATGCATGGTATACGCATTATGTGTTTTCTACTTTCTACATTTTGGTTTATGCATGGAAGGATAAAGTGCAACATACGATACAGTTAAAGTTTGTACATAAATTTAATAGTACCTCTGTAATTGGAAATGTGGCCAAGAGCACTACTAGATGTGACCAAAATTGCTCAGGGTATAAAATATATTACTGACATTAAATCATTTATTTGAAGACAATTATAATGGAAATCACATTTAATATACAGTAGGTATGTGCTTCACACTCACAGCTTTACTATGTAGAGATCAACAAGGAAGACAAAAAGTAGTCAGACTGTTCTCTGACCCTCCTCTTGTGGTAATTATACCTTCGCTCTTCTGTATGTAACCCATGACATGTGATTAGAGATGGTTTCTTTATTTCATGGATTTAATTATTCATAGTATTATTATCGTATTGTATATATGTTCACAATTGAAATTAGATAAATATATCAAAAATTACACTCCGGCAATGGAATGACTCACAGGAATTTGGACCCCCAGAGCAGAGGCGTAGAGAGGCTGCACGGACTGGCGTGCTGGTGACCTCATATTAGTCTTAGGGCACCATCCGTTGGCCATTTCAGCTCCCATTTAAGCTACACATAAGGATACATTGATTTGGAGTGCAATGTGATACCTCTGATTGGTCTAGCAGCCAGACAGCAGCGAGGTTCAGGTGAGTATATCTTTTTTATTTCTGTCCCTTTACAAAAAGAAGCACATACTGTAACCCTTGCAGTGGGGGGTAGCCCCACTGCAAGGGTTAAGAATATTTCTGCCCGGAGTTCTTTTTTAAGAGGTGCAGGCTCAAGGACAATTATTGGTATCTTGGCTTTACTACATAGTAAGTTGCTAGCTTGGATAAAGCATGCAGCCAGCAATTAAGATGATGTTGTGTTCACTTTAATCGACCAATCATGAGCTAGTAGAAATGCATTTTTTTATTCTCTTCCCTTCATTTGGGTATTCGGAGTGAACACAGTTTTACTGTATTCACTAATATTCAATTTAGAAAGTGAACATACACTTTTCAAAATTAAAATTCACTTTGCGTGAATGGCACATATGAAACCCCTTAGTGCTCTGGAGTTCCTTTGTCATGTATTAAATGTTTAGTTGTAAAGATTCTGTGTGCATAGCTAATGTACACATATCAAAAATAAACTTAAAATGAAACCCCAACTATTATACTTTCTCTTTACTAAGACAACAGTCATACATGTTAAGCGTACAAGTAATTGTAGCAGAGATGATCACAATTCACTGCTGTTGTCATGACAACCCGGCATTGCTTTAACATTGTGTCTATAATTTTTTCTAGATTTGGAAAGAATAACATTCAGCTGAATTCACCATGCCCCAGCTGTTGCCTGCAAAAGAAGCAGCTAGAATATACCACACCAACTATGTTCGCAATGCTCGTGCCATTGGTGTCTTGTGGGCAGTGTTCACAATATGCTTCACAATTATCATGGTGGAAGTGTTCATCCAGCCATACTGGATTGGGGACAGCTTAAATACACCTCAAGCTGGTTACTTTGGACTGTTTAGCTACTGTATAGGCAATGCATTGACCTCAGAGCTTATCTGCAAAGGAAGCGCCTTGGACTTTGAATCAATACCTTCAGGAGCCTTCAAAACAGCCATGTTTTTTGTTGGTGTGTCAATGTTTCTAGTGGTGGGCTCCATGCTGGCCTTCGGTCTTTTCTTCTTCTGCAATTCAGCAACAGTGTACAAGATCTGTGCATGGATGCAGCTCGCTGCAGGTAAATGCTGACACTGTTTAAGTTGGCCTGATAACAAGGTCAGTGTTTTCATTATTTTCATCAATTCCTTACTGCAATTCTGTTTTGTCAGAGTGTGTTGTAATTCCGCTCTAAAAAACTCTTATAGTTCTGTTTGTACATTGGTGATATTTCTTTGCTGTCCTTGCAGCAGCTGGCCTGATGATTGGCTGCCTTATTTACCCCGATGGGTGGGACTCTGCAGAAGTCAAACGCATGTGCGGAGACAAGACTGACAAATACACATTAGGAGCATGCACAATACGCTGGGCATATATCCTAGCTATGATTGCCATCCTGGATGCTCTCATTCTCTCTTTTCTGGCATTCGTCCTTGGGAACAGACAGGACAGTTTGCTGCCGGAGGATTTCAAGATTCAGACCAAAGGTTAGAAGAATCATTCATTGTTTATTGCTAATTTCTGCAATGTTAGCAAATTACGGTAGTAAATTACAATAACAACCCTAATATAATATTAAAACACAAAAAAAGTAAGTTAAAAAGTAACACAACAAAAAGCATATGTACCAAGTAAATAATACAGCTACACAAATTAATAATGCAAGAACACTAACAATTCTATCATATATTAATTTAAAAAAAAATCATATTTGGCAATCCACATTAAAAGCATAGAGCAATTTTTAAATTCAATATATTAGAGGTACCAGTGGCGTAACTACCGCCATAGCGACCCACGCGGTCGCTATGGGGCCTGGGGCAGAGGTGGGCCTGGTCCAGGGCCAGATTAACATAGGGACGCATGGAGTTCTGCTCCGGGTCTGCCTCTGCAAATAGGCTCGGCCGGGAGACGGAGGAGAGAACGGGGACATGGGCTCTGCGGTTTATCATGAGGATGGGGGGGAAGGCCCGGGGAAGGGGGGAGATGTCTTGCAGGTGGTGCCCTGCGAATGGCACATGGTGGAGACCCCGTACCTGGTGGCAGTGTGGATTCTGGTGGCACCCTGGCCAAGATCGGTGAGTGACAGTGTGTGCCTGTCACAGAAATAATGAATCCAAACAAATCCGAATGTTTTTGATAACGAAATTCAGATGCATACGAAATGTTTCCAGAATGCCATTCAGAATGGAACAAAAGAGGGGAGAGCTGTGTGTTATTCTGTGATAGTTCTTTGCCTCTTTGTTTACATTCGGGAGCAAAGTAGCGGAGAAAAAAATGCAGAAAAGTTTTTAACTTTTGACAGTCCACACAAAAAAAAAAGTGTGCAGTTCCCTACAGCAATTCATACCAGACCCTTCCACCATATGCACTCCCTCCCCTTCCACCACACCAAGCCACATGCCCCCAAACATGGGGAGGGTGCTTTGCCAGGGGGGACCCCGTGGGAAAAAACCTTGTCCCCATGTCTAAGAGGACAAGGGCCTCTTCCCCACAACCCTGGTCCGGTGGTTATGGGAGTCTGCGAGCAGGGTGTCTTATTTGAATCTGTGTGCCCCCTTTCATTAAAGATCCCGCCCCCCTTGTGAATCAGTAAGGAACAGTTTTTACCCCTATTCATTCACCAAATAAACATTTAAAATATTAATAAATACACAATATCGTGGGGAAAAACCCCACAACAGAGGTTTCTGAGAATCCCTTTATTAAAACCCCCCAAAAATGTCCCATGATGCCAATCCAGCATCGATTACCTCATCCAGCGCGGACCCGACAAAAAAAAAAAAAAATACTTGCCGCCCGACAAAATCTTTACAACGGGCAGTGGGCAAAAAATAAACAAAGCCTGCTATTGGCTATTTCAAATTGAAATAGCCAATAGCAGGCTGGCTATTGCACCCGCCCACTGCCTAATGCAAATCACAGAGGAGTGGACCTAAGAGAGAACTTTCTCTCTCAGGTCCGCTCCTCTGCAGGAGCAATAGCTATCCAAATTGCTATTTCAAATTGCAATAGCCAATAGCAGGATGGCTATTGCTCCGCCCCCTGCCTGATGTCAATCAGCAGAGGAGCAGACCTGAGAGATAAAGTCCTCTGCCGATTGACAATTTTGGCATATGCTGGGGTGAATGAATGAACTGACCATGTGTGGGAGTTATGTCATCCCAGCATGGCCAATCAAGATGGCTGAAGATCCTGAACCTGGGTGAGAGTTGGGATAAGACTGGGCAAAGATGTCAGCATCTGAGCTTGTGGACGCCCATTGCTGAAAGGGAGGAAAGTATAGTTCTCCTTTAAGCAAGTATACAACCTGATGCACAGGTAGACAATTGCATTGGGCAGAGTATCTGCAATATTAAGAAACTCATGGGTATTTGTTTGGTACTATGGACCTGTTTTTAATGAAGGTTGCCAGAATGGTTTGGTTTGTAGATTTTAACAGCAGGATTACTGGTCTGTGTGTTTGGGTTTGGTTTGGTTGTGGTATTAGACCCTGACCTTTGTTTTTGTGTTTTACAGAAGATGAGAGTGGTTGAAAAGAATTACAACCCACTGCAAGAACATGTCAAGCTGCGTGTAACATATATATATATATTTGTTCTACCTTGAAGATTACACACTCACTCACTGAGAAGTGAATACATGAATACATTGAAAATATGTATAGAATGTGTGTGTTGTCTCACCTCTCCATTTTCCATAAGGATGTATAGAGACATAACCTTGGCTGATTACACTTGGAAAACTTTGCTTCATTTTCAAAACACAGTATTTATAGGGGGGTTTCATGTCTGTTTTTTAGAAACTGGAAGAAAATATAAAAAAGCAATGCAACCCTATATTATTGACTATGCTGTTTCATGACCACACTGAATGGCTTGTTTATACAAGGTGCACTTCCATGCGTTTTGCTGCATTTTTCAGTACAGTGAGTGTTTGCTACAGATACTTTTTCATTCACAAACAATTGTAAATGACATATATATAATGGATGTGATACAAACATGGTCAGTGTATCTCTACACAGGCTCAGACAGTCTGGGTTCAGACGTGCTGTGAGTGACCTGCATCAGTACATAGAGACCTATACAGGCCTTCTCTATCATTCCAGTCTTACACTTCAAACACAATTGTAGAGATACATCCAAGTGGCCCATTTGCAAATGAGGAAAGCATTTAAATGCATTCAGACATGCAAAATTAGAAAACCCAGTTTGGCTACCAGCATGCAATTTAATTTCTCCACATATCTAAACTGCATCACACACATAGTCATATGTATGTCTATATTTTGGATGATATGGAAGTGCATTTACATGTCCTATTACAGTGGTGGAAATGGAGGGCTGCATCTAAATCACTGTTACCCCTAGACTATTCATTTGAAAAATATGGTCATAGATGTCATAATAAAAGCAAGAAAATCATGCATTTAACAGGCATAACCCCCTTCCAGGAAGCTCTATCCTAGGGACCCGTCCACTCATCTGTGTATTACCACTGTATGCTCCTCTCACACCAGCTTGTATGGATGCGGTGCACTGCCATAGACATATCCCGCCAAGGGTTTCTGGTAAGTGGCGTTTGGCTTAGAGTAGAAGCAGCAAAAGTAACCCCCCTCCCTTTCATTGTTGTCAGCCATAGTAACCCTCAGCATTAAGTCTCAGTGTCAGCAATGTGTCAACTCCTCACACTGCAATCAGTTTATAAATCAGCCCCTTGGTATTTATTGATATACTTTAAACATTTTACCTTCCTGACTGCAAAAAATGTTTATCTTCATCATTTAAGAGTATAAACTGCAGAACCCTGAGAAAATATAATATAAAACCTTTGCACCCTGTTGTTGCCATCGCCACATGGCTTACGGCGGTTGCAGCAGAACCCGGTAAACTTACTTCTTGCTGCCAAACCTCCGTAAACCCGACTGTTGGTTTTCTATTGGAAGTGATTTTGGTGGCTGTGAAGGCACCTGAACACTTCCACAGACCCCAGACAATGGCGCCCCCACCCACGTTGTATGCCAGGCTTTGCTGACCCTCTTGGGCACCTGCAACAGCATGACATACGTCAGTAGGGAGACTGGCGTGAGATTAGCAAACATCAATTAGCTGATCACCCCTGTGAAAAATAAAAGCGGAAGTGACAAGCTTGTTGTCACTTCTGGTTACAGAGCTCTCTGCGGACGATCTGCGCTTGATTAGCTGCATCATGCAAAGGTGACATTTGGGTCTGATAGACCCCCAATGTCCTCTTAAAGACAACCTGTCACCTCCAGTGTGCTTGTCAGCACACATGTCGGAGTGAGAACAATGTTAGGGCCATTATTCACAGTTAAAGGCCTGTAAATGCTTTTAAAGCATTGCCTACAGCAGGGGTAGGCAAAATTTGGCCCTTTAGATACTCCAAATCTCATCATTTCTCTGCCCCTGGAAATTATGCCTGTGGTTGTCAGAGTCTTGCAATGCCTCATGTGACTTGTAGTTCACTACAGCTAATGGGCTGAAGTTTGCCTACCCCTGCACTATAGACAATTGTGGGTACCAAAATCTTTTGCCCCTTCGGAGGCACATGCCATTTTGAGGCTTGGCATAGTAGGTATCTCTCGACACAACCTCATCATCTTTTATATTTTACAAAAAAAATGGGTATTATATTGTATTTGTGTGCACTAAAATTAATTTGAATGCATTTTTTAGTAACAATTTAAGATTAATAAACAGTTATGCTAATATCACATGACAAACAATTGCAACGGCCACCATTTTCTTCTACACAGTCTCTGCTTTCAGAAAAATTATTATTTTACATCTTGCTTACAAAGAAAATTCTTAACATTGGTGCATCAATTACATTACAAAAGCAACAAATAATGTGTTTGTACAATATTCATCCCTAAATTTAAGAGGGATTTCCTCTAATCTCTTTGTTCCTAAAACTATATCTAGTATAAACAAAGTCCAGAACTTGTGAAGAAGGCAGATCCTCATAAGAGAAACCACAGCACCATCTGGTGGCAGAAATCATGAAATGCTTCTTTATTTGATTTGTTTTGCAAAGACAAGCTGAAAAACATTATTCAGATCCATAGAAAATGTCAAACTAAACAAACACAAAACACTCAAATCGCTCTAAAAAAATAGAAATGAGAATTTAATAACATTATTTTCCAGTGGTGTTTCCAGCCCCAGATGCAATGCTACAATATGAGTATATTATGAAGATATCACTCCGTCAGTCTCCATCCATCTCCTACTAATCATAGATGTTTCCAGGGGTGCAGCGCAGGCCATACAATAAAAGACGTGCAGACTCTTTTGGGCTACTCCATGAGGCATAGAGCGAATTATTAAAGCTGAACTCCAGGACTTATCTTTTTACTTTAACTTACATTGGTTCAGCTTGCTTACATCTTAATTCTTCATATCTAACATCCAGAGGGTTGCTGGGGATGCAGAAAGTAACCTGTGCTAAATACAGTCAGCGCTGGGCTCTTCCAGGTGCTGATGGAGTGACTTGCCATCTGTATACTCAACGTCTGTTGCCCACTCGGCACCTCCACCAATCAGACACTGTCTTGTATTTTTTTTTATATACAGGTGAAACTCGAATAATTAGAATATCGTGCAAAAGTAATTGCAGTAAGTGCTGCAAAAGGGGCCCAAACCAAGTACTGAGTACATATGCATGCTTGTACTTTTCAGAGGTCCGATATTGTTCTATGTACAATCCTTGTTTTATTGATTGCATGTAATCTACTTTTTTGAGGTTGTGGATTTGGGGTTCTTGGGGTTTTCATGAGCTGTAAGCCATAATCATCACAATTATGACAAATCACGGCTTGAATTATCTTGCTTTGCATGTAATGAGTCTATCTCATATATTAGTTTCACCTTTTAAGTTGCATTAGTGAAATAAATGAACTTTGCACGATATTCTAATTATTCGAGTTTCACCTGTACATTCTTTATTTAAGTTTTCAAATATAGAACAGTGTACAAGTGGGCAACATCAAAAATAAACAAACAATCACAAGCAAACGTCCCAAGGTATGAAACCAAAATCTAGGAGAAATATACCTATAGCTTGTATTTTTTTCCAATGAAGACATACAAACAAGACAGAGAGTGTGACGTCATATTCCCCTACTTCCTGCCTCGTCCAATCAGACAGCGCCTTGTATTAACTGAAAGGATCCAAGACAATCTCTGAATGGTGGAGGTGCTGAGCCAGCTACCCCTGTGTTTAGCACCCGGTAGAGCACAGCGCTGACTGTATGGAGCACAAGCTACTACCATGAATTTCTGCATCCCCAGCAGCCCTCCGAATGCAAGAAATGGAGACTTAAATCTAACCGAGCTGAACCAATGTAAGTTTTAAAAAATAAATATTTCCTGGAGTTCAGCTTTAAGTGCAATAACCCACAACTGATCAGAAATCATCTTCCAGGGGTCTGACTTCAGAAGAACAAAATCTAGCTGGTTGTTATGTGTTACAGCACTTTGTATTCCCATTTTGATCTCTGCGCTGGATTATTAAATAAGACTGTTTAGTTAAAGTTCACACAGGCATTGGAAAGAAAGGCATGTTAAAACACATGTGAATCACATAGCTTTGAAATGTATTTTTGGCACATCTTTGACATGGTTAGGAGTCGTTCATAAAGTGCTGGCTATAGTATCTGGTATATTCATGCTATAGTAGTAGTTACTCACATTCAATTGGACTTGTTCTGTAATGTTGAAGATGTTTTAAAGCTTACCCAAGGCACATCTTTAGTTTTAATTAGTGTCAGGAACATACCCTGGCATTTATAACCACACGGGTAAAGGTGCCCATACACCTTACGATTATCGGACGATTTTCGTATGCGATCGACTTTTCGGCCGATAACATCGTATGTGTGCATTGCAGTGCCCGACCGACATTACTGTACAATCGTACGCCTTTTGACGGTCAAGCATGTTTGAAAACTTTGCTAGATCGTACGATTGTCGTAAGGTTGCTGGCGTTTCCGTCCGTCAAAAGTCATACGATCTACACTGAGCTTGCGCTAACGAAAATACGGCAAATCAATTACCGCATTTCGTCCAGGTGCTTCTCGTTAATTACGGCTAAATTAATCTTGCGATCATCGGGGCAGGATGGGGCTGCCGTACGAAAATCGTACGACTATTCGATCATCGGACGAAACGTTTCGTCCGATAATCGTAAGGTGTATGGGCACCTTAACTCAGACACCTTAATCCATTCACCACTGAATGTGTCAAGGTGTTGATTGTCCAAGCACATGTCCTAGGCTTTCAGAAAACCTTAATAAACTTTTTTTTTTAAGCAAAAGCTTCCTGAAGTCCTTACGAGATTCTAAGGCAGGTTTAGGAGGAATAGTAATTGACTTGAATTGAGGTGTTTAGTAAGCCCTGTAAATTGGCAATTATGGCAAATTTTGCTGGTGAGATTAAAAAGCAATGTGGAGGTAAACAATGCAAATGCATTATAAATATCGGAGGAGTTAAATCAGAAAAACGCATTCAACTACCTTACCTATTAACAATACTGTATGTAATTTTAGATAGAAAAAAAACTGTGCAAGGAATCAAATAACACTCTAAGTGCAGCTGTGCTTAATAGGCGAGTACACCCAAAATAGGAAAAAAGAAAATGGCACTGCGCTTCACAAACTCAAAAATTATATTCCTAAAATGTGAAACAAATAGTATAAAATGTGAAATTGTCACAAAGTGATACACAATCTTGTGTCATACAAAACACCTGTGTTGCACAATGCCTGTGCTGATGATAGTAAGAAAAAGCTCTAGGTCTAATGGTCTAGACACTATAAACCATAATAAACATGGGGGGGGGGAAACCGTGCTAGTACATCTCGTAAAATGTGTATTTATAATCCACACCACGTCCATGAATGCATAAACAATTAGTGAATCAGTGCTCTCCAGACTCCACCGTGCTCAAAGATAAGATTTGGCTGCACTCACCGACTCCTATTGCTCACCATATTTCAGATGAACAATTAGCGCTTTGTTGATATATATAGAACCAAATCACAGGATTTTTCTATATGTACATTTTTTTCCCCCCATGTTTATTATAGTTTATAGCAAGGCTCAAAATTTCAAGTCCTGAGCTACTAGCCAGGCCTTAAAAGTTACTCGCCACCAGTTGCCCCACCTAACCACTACCCTGCCGCGGACTTAACTCCGCCAGGTCAGTGGTGTGACATAGAGTACAGAGATCAGTAACAACGCGGAGTCCAGCGGTGTGATGCACAGTACTAAGGTCAGCAGTACAGAGGTCAGTAATGTAACTCGGAGTGCAGAGGTCAGCAGTGTTAAGCTGGCCATACACCTTACAACCATCGCAACGACTTTCGTTGTGCGATGGTTGTAAGGTAATAAAATTTTTGTACGATCTGCCCATCTTGGAAAGGCAGATCGTACTTGTGATCATTGCAAGTCCTCCCCGCCGAGGGGAGGGCTTGCTGATGATTGTAATGCTGAGCAGGCAGTGTGCGCTTGCGCACACCAGCCCGTGCTGCTTTCGTCTTCTGAGCATGCCACAAACCCGCCGAAAATCGTACGATTTTTGGCAGGTTTTCCAGCTAGCTTGGAAGATGAAGGTCCTGGGACCGTACAGTAGATGCGGCCACACGCTGCCCTTACACCTGCCAATTATCGTACTTTGCGGGATCACCTGCGATTATCGTACGATAATCGTCAGGTGCATGGGCACCTTTACACAGAAAAAACAGGGACTTACAGTGCACAGTTGATCTGATTCAGGTGCTCTCTTCCTGGTGGGGGTGTTGGGGGGAGGGTCATCAATGCTGCCTCCATGTAACAAGGTGAAGCCTCCAGCAGCGTAGTTGACCCTCCTTTCAGGTCCCACACTGCAGAAATGTACAGAGGTCAGCAGGATGACGCACAGCACAGAGTTCAGTAATGTAACGCACAGTCCAGAGGTCAGCGGTAAGGAGGTCAGTAATGTAACGCACAGTACAGAGGTCAGTAATAAAGCACAGTTCAAAAGTCAGCAGTGTAAGGCAGAAATAATGCACGGTACAGAAGTCGGCAATAGCGCACAGTGGAGAAGTCAGCGGTGTATGGCAGAAATAACGCACAGAGCAGCGATCACCAAGAACGCACAATGCAGCGGTCCACGAGAACGCACGGCGCATCGGTCCGCGAGAACGCACTGCGCATCGGTCAGTGAGAGCGCAAGGCGCATCGGTCAGCGAGAGCGCATGGCGCATCGGTCAGCAAGAGCGCGCAGTCAGCGAGAGCGCACAGCGCATCGGTCAGCGAGGGCGCACGGCGCAGCGGTCAGCGAGAACGCACGGCGCATCGGTCAGCAGGAACAAACGGTGCAGCGGTCAGCAGTTTAAGGCAGAAATAACAGGGACTTACAGTGCACATGGCTGGTGTGCCCTTTTCTTCTCCTGGTGTGTGTGTGCGGGGGGGTACAGCGATCTGTCCTGTCCGACGTGAAGCCTCCCTTCAGGTCCCGCACTGTCCTGCCATCCAGCCAATCACAGCTCTGCATTCTTCCTCCCAGCCTATGGCAGCTAACGTGGGCGGAGGAAGACTGCAGATGACGGACAGCCAGCTGAGCTGAACTTTCTCCCGTCTCTTCTCCTCTTCAGCCGCTGCAGCTATAGAGCGGCCGCAGAGGAGAAGAGAAGGGGGAGAGCTGACCGGGTGATCGCCGCTGCTGAAGTGGCGGCAGATTCCTTTCTCATACTGCCGGCGGCGCCCGCCCTCCCCCCGATGAATTTCCACTCGCCAACACGCAATTTTCACTCGCCAATTGCGAGGGGGCGAGTGGAAATTTTGAGCCCTGGTTTATAGTGTCTAGACCATTAGACCTAGAGTTTTTCTTACTATCATCAGCACAGGTGTTGTGTATGACACAAAATTGTGTATCACTTTGTGACAATTTCACATTTTATACTATTTTTTTCACATTTTAGGAATATAATTTTTGAGTTTGAAGCGCAATGCTATTTTCTTTTTTCCAATACTGTACGTAATTTGTTATCACTCAGCTGTAGATCCTCAAATCATCTCTGAATTCATGCTGACGTTGTCCTTCCTTCTGGAGGGTGGCTACTTTTGTTCCCCATGACTCCTGTGTGTGTTGTAATGCTCACTCCTGTGAATGACTACAATCTCAATACAAATTCGCAAACTAAATATGAGATTGTAGTCCATCACAGGAGTGAGCTTGGAGCGGTGGCTACTTAACAACACACACAGGGACCATGGGGCACAAAAGTAGCCACCCTCCGGAAGGAAGGACAGTGTCAGCACCAATTCAGAGATGATTTGAGGATCTGAAGCTGAGTGATACACAAATAAGATATATTTTTATTAATAGGGCAATTAAATGTATTTTTAAGCTTTAACTCCTAGGTACTTGAATGCATTGCTGCAATACAGTAGCTGTGTTTTATTTCATTTGTACACCATTTTGATCACCAAACTGAACTTTGATCTTGCTTCTGGGCCTTTGCAAGGGCATAACTGTCATGCAATTGAGCCAGTCACTGATAGACACATGGAATGATTTATATGGCAGACCAGTCAGAACCTATCTGTATGGCAGAGGGATTTCTTCATATGCAATCGTAATGTAAGGAGGTTTCATAGGTAAATACCAATATTCAAAATTATAAAACAAATAAAATGCCTTCTGTAAAACGGATTCCCCATATATGTCAAGAATGCTTAAAAGAAGTTCTTTAAATGATTGATGAGGTCTGTAAGGGAAGTAAAACTTGCGAATTTCTGTTGCTAGTGGCTTGTTCCCATGTGGGCCAAAAATAGAGCTTGCATTCCCCAGGTACACGGGCTCTCCGCTATACAAGAACAAGCGAGTATAATTTGTTTGTACGCTCTTCTTGAAGGTGGCGCCGAGCTCTGATAACTTTTGGTAGGTTCGGAGCACAAATTTGCTGCAATCGTAGGAATCAAACCACAAAGTTGAATTAGGTAACACCGATTCCTTCACAGTCCATGTCTCATAGTAAATGCCAGTGTTGTTATCTTCTTTTATCCATTTTGCCAACTGGTTAAACATGGAGCCTATTATATTAAACAGAAGTAAACTGAGTTACAATCCATGAAAAGTATTATAATATGGATCTTCCTCTGCTATACAGGAAATACGTGATGCTGTTTGAAAATGGTTAATTTAGGCTTGGGAAGGGGACGGCATCTGCATTGTACTTTTTGGCTGCCCTGCTGGTTTGTAATACAACTACTAACAGGGTTATTCACAAAAGGGTGAAGAGTTTGGAGAAGGCAGGAGAAGTGAACAATCTAGGACATCATAGCTGATTTGGAAACGTTCTCCAATTCAGCTCACTTTCCATTCAGTTATGTTGTCCTACATTGTTCACGTCTCCTGCCTTCTCCAAACTCTTCACCCTTAGTGAATAACTCTGTACATTTTCACTGATCTTATAGGGGCCCGTTCAAATATCCACATCATGATAACACATGTTCTACTGAACCTTAACGCATGCACAATGGTTCACTGCACAGTAGCAGCAAATGGAAAACATACTGTGGTGCACATGGTGTGTTAGGTTTAAAACATTGTATATGTCTAATTTTCAGGGTCTTAAGGTGCACTGCCAGCCCATTGCAATTGAATGGGGGGCTGCATTAATGCAGCACACCATAATGCACAGTTAACGCAGGTGGATTAGGCCTCACACGTGTGTTAAAACCAGGCATTAGAGAAGCGTTTTTAACGCCTATGTGCTGCCTATTAACGCCCATGTTGGAGAAAACAATAGCAACTGCCCGGTGCTGTTCATACATGGGTGTTAGTGTTGTGTTGCTGTGTGTCAAAAAAGTGCACGTCACATTCTGGAGGCATTGCTGCTGGACAAATGCATCCGTTGAAGTATACTGAAACGCCCCTCATATGCTCAGTCCATGCTCCCTAGGGCATTTTCCGGGCATTTAAGAAGCATTGCACAGGTATTTTAGGAGAGGCAAAGGAGGTTTTGCAATTTGCAGAAACCACTGTGGAAGGGATAGCGTGAGTGGACAGAGCTGGTACAGATACCACTTCCTGTCTGCACACCGCCAGTGTTTCGCCAGCAAGAAGACAGCTTCTAGCCAGGTACTTGCAACTTGTGACAGCTGTTATCGGTGTCATCCAAAGCAGTGGCAGCCATAGCATTGCCAGGCATTGCAAGTACCAGCCAGAGCCAGTCATGTCTGAAATAAATGTTGCACGGCTAATTCAAGCAGTTGAGCAACACACAGAATTGTATGACCCAATCTGCCCAGCTACTCTGACTCCTTAAAAAAAATAAAAATAATAGAAGTGTGGCCACTGCTGATCACATCCCTTTACCCTTAACAGACTGTGACTGACAGTGATTCTAGAGAGCTGTTGCGCATGTCCATATATTCGTGGACGCGCAGCAGCTCTCTCCTTACCTGCACGTCCCCGTGTGCCAGCCGGGCTCCTTCCTCCCTCTCTCTCTCTCCCTGCCCTGTGTCACACTGACATAATAAAAAGATCGTGGATCGCTGATGACAGAGGGGAAGGAGCCCTCTCTCTCTCTTCAGCATTTACTACAAATGGGAACGTCCATATATGGTAAATGATGTCACTGGAGATCCCTGCAGATCAGATGCTTGCAGGGATCCCCAGTGACACCATTTACCATATATGGACTTTCCCATTTGTAGTAAATGCTGAAGAGAGAGAGAGGGCTCCTTCCCCTCTCTCATCAGCGATCCACAGTGAATTGAGGATGTCAGCGTCACACAGGGCAGGGAGAGAGAGAGAGGGAAGGAGCCTTCTCTCTCTCTTCATCATTTACCACATATGGGCAAGTCCATATATGATGAATGATGTCACTGGGGATCCCTGCTGATCGGATGCTTGCCAGTCTGCAGGGATACCCAGTGACATCATTCACCATATATGGACTTGCCCATTTCTGGTAAATGATGGAGAGAGGGATGGCTCTTTATCCTCTCTCTCTCCCCCTGTGTTATGCTGACATCCTAATTACTGGGGATCGCTGATGAGAGAGGAGAAAGAGCACTGAATGTGCAGGGAGGCTGAGTCCGTCTCTTGCTGCTGCCTTCTCACTTCAGACTCCGCCTCCCGCTCACAAATGCCAGCGTGCACGAGCTGACAAAACACAGCTGTGCACGATGAGAGGAAGCGCGGCCACAGCAATGAGATCATTTGAAAAAAAAGCCGTGGGCGGGCTGGATCAAATGTTAACGCCCCCTAAGAGGAAAGGAGCTTGGAGCAGGGTTGAAGACGGCCATTTACTACAGGTTTTGAGGGTTTTATCTGTGATGTGCTGCGACTTTAGAAAAAAGGAACGATGCTACTACAATCAAGGTAAGGGGTATTTTTATTTGCCCTTAAGTCATAGTTCTCCTTTAATCTGTTTCTAGGATATTATCAGTATCACAGTCACATTTGTAAGTGATCCAAAACAAAACCAAAAGATTACAAACAAAACAAAAGATTCTGTTGCCGTTTATTTTTAGTCTCTGCAAGCTTGTCTCAATGTTATTTTTCATGCTAACAGATTATGAGAAATGATGCTTTGTACTCATGTGATAATGAAATGGAACATACATTGTGCAAAAAACTATTTTTATAAATGAAAAGGGGAAGTCACTCCTAGAGGGAAATAACACTCTCTTACTGGAGGTTACTCACGTCTTATCAGTACCATGTAAATATAGTGATTATAATAGGGGTCCTCAAACTACGGCCCGCAGGCCACATCCGGCCCGCCAGGGTCCTTGGCCCGTCCCGTTCAGGTGTTAAGGCCGGGGAGCTGCAGGCCCCTACCTTTATTACCTCCCGGCCGGCCGTTGTTAAAAAACGGCCGGCAGCTCTCTAGATAAGCCACGCCCACTTGCGCGAGCGGGAAACCCAGTCAATTTAAAAACAGGCAGCGATGCCTGTTAACATACAAGCGATCCGCCGGCTATAGAGCAGGCGGATTGGTTGTATGGGCGGTCGGCCCGTGTCCCCCCCCTCCCGTAGTCACGCTGATCCCGGGCTCCGCTGAGCCTGGGACCAGCATAGTGCCTCTGTCACAGGGGATCAGAGGGAGGTTGATACAAGACCTTCCTCCGCTCCCCTCTCCGCTGTAAGAATGCGGTAGTGATGTATTTTAAATTACTTCCGCATTCTTGTGTCACTCTCCAGCTTCAGAAGCTGATGGAGCAGATCTCTGCTTCATCAGCTTCTTCAGGGGGGTCCTAGGTGACATTAGGGGTTGTCTCCATAAAGAGGACCTGTCACATATTTTGCTATCACATAGGGGAGTTTCTTAGCCCCCTATGTAATAGCATAAAACTTAAGTGGAAAAAAAAATAGGAAACAAAATTAAAGATTACATTTTTTTTAAAGTTACACATAAAAAAGAATATTTTTTTTTCTTTTTTTTAAAGTCCCCACCCATACATACACGCATGCAAACATGCGTCGGGTGCGCATACCTGCGAAAATGACGATTGCGCCCATTACGCCGCACATGTTACATATCGCCGCGAACGTCGCAGTGTGAGCAATAATTCTAGGGCCATCAATCACTGATAACACTAAACTGATGAGCTATAAAAGTTTTTAAAGCGTCGCCTATGGTCAATTTTGGGTATGGTGTTTTTTTGCGATTTTGCGAGTGCGCGCAATTTTTAAGCTTGACATGTTTGGTGTCTATTTACCCGACGTGACCCCCGACTTTTATGTTTTAACAAAAAATTGGGTGATAATAAATGTTTCCTAACACAATGTAAAAAAAAAAAAACTTTTCTGTAATTTTCCTGAAATATAGTAAAAAAATAAAACCCGCAGTGGTGATCAAACACCACCAAAAGAAAGCTCTATCTGTCCCCAAAAAATGGTATAAAATTAATTTCAGTACAGCGTTGCGTGACGGAATAAACATCAAAGTACCGCAGCGCTGAATACTGAAAAATGGCCTGGCCAGGAAGGGGGTCTAAACACCTGGTCTTCAAGCAGTTAAAATAGGCCCAGCCGCCCTAAACAACATATAGCAATCAATCGGCCGGCCGCTTGCCCGCGGGGTCCAGGGAGATTGTCATTCCCCCGGCCCCGCCTGGGTGTCAGGGAAGACACACAGGGTGTTCCGGAAGCTTGGCAGCTTCTGTGTTCGGCCTGCGCGGCTGCGCTCTTTTATCTCAGGGCGCATGCCGAGGCAAACCAAATGCCTTGGTTCCTTTAGCAGCGTAACGCCAGTGCGGCTGCGCCCCTCCAACTTTGGGTGCACGCCAGCACAGGCTCTTGTAGGGCGGCCAATAAGAAGAGAACTGGGATATGAAGTGATGTCATCTCCCTGCCTCTCCCAAAGCTGCACGCCGCTGTAGAGAGGTAAGACAGGGCAGTCTACATGCCCATTCATTGTAATAAATAACAAATACTTGAGCTGCAGAAAATAATAAGAAATCATGCTAGCACATGTTCCTGGCTAAGAGAAATGAATTGTATTAAAAAAATGTTTTGTTTATTAAAGAAGTTGTTAAAAATATTTATATATACACCCTCTAAGTAAGGGCTTATTCACACCAGAGCAGCAGCTGCTGGAGCGCACAGCAACTGCTCACTAACGTTCCCCCTTTGTTCTGGGACAGGAGGGGGCGTGGCGGTGCGGCACCACAGCCACCCCCC